ATCTCCTTCCTAATGCATACTTTTTTAACTTGAAGAAACGTTTCTTGTAGTCCACATGGGCTTGAATGGAAACTAAGCTCTACTGAAAAAATTTAGCCCCATTATCAGTCAAAATCCATACAGCAGCAACAACAACAAATGGCGTTAACATCACTAAATCATGGTTAGAACGGTTAGCCAACTATATAACAAGCACCAGTCATAGACCAAGTCACAATATTTGTCCCGAAGCCTGGTAATAGTGTTCCATGGCGTGTTTGCTGTTGTTCGTGTTGTTGTTGTTGCGATCATCGTTGACATACTTAACACTGGCAGCTGAACAATTGTGGTAGCTATGGAATTTCTATGACATAGAGACTGACAACTTAAAGAATGTTACTGTTTATCCTATGAAAAATAACATTAAGTAGAGGAGGAGGAGGAGGTGGTGTTCCTAATGTTTGTCGACATTACTCACACTTCACTCCTCCCCCAATACCACAACTTAATAAATTACACCACAAAAGCCAAATGTCCAAACAAGCATCTTTTAAGAAAAAAAAAACACGACAACAACTAACTAGTTTACCATAAAATGAAAACGGGAATACTTCATAATATAATTAATAGGAGGGGTGGGCAAATAATGGATGGGAAGAATTTGTATACCCTTCACCGAGAAGTTGAGTTTATATTCTCGAATAGCCATGTCGCACTATTGATATCACTATATCTCGCAATACTTATCACAAAACTTTGAAATTTTGCGGTAATTGCAAAATATTTTTAATATTGGTCTCATTATATCCTCCATAAACGATATAGTCGAAATTTTAATGTTTCAGACTTTCCTTCACGCTAAATATAACAAAATACCGAAACTCGGGAGGTACGATTATATGGGGGCTAGGCCCCACTTAGAAACCTCTGTGTTTTTATTACTTTCTTTACTTTCACGGCTCCCCTAGGGTCCACTGCTCGACGTATTCGGCGTACCACTTCCATTGGCGGAGATCCTCTAAGCTTAACAATATAAAGCTGTAAGGAAAGTAGTTAAGTCGGATGGGGCCTATATGATACACTTCACTACTTTGGGTATATTCAACTTATACATCCTAAGAGTCGTCGCATTTTACAAGGACCATTAACATGAAATTGGATGAACTAAAAAATGTGATGTTTATATAAATGTCAATCGACTTAAATTAATTCATGAAGATGTCATTCAGCAATGAAACTAATTAAGACATACATATATAGAGTCGTTTGTTTCCAATGGAACAAAATTATGTTAATCGATTTAATACAAATCTCAATCGGACTCCCGTTGATTATTTAGAACTAAATTAAAATGAAAATAATCGAAAATATATACAGGATATGTCTACGTTTCTACAAGACGCAATTACAGCATTCTATACTCAATTTTACTTAAAATCGGACGAAAATATATGTGAAAACAATATCCAAATCTGAACCGATTACAACGAAACTTGTCACATGTTATGTTATACTAACTTCAGTACGTTGTGCATAATTTTGTGTCAATCGGCCTAACTTTGGGGCTTTGGCGCACCATTTACTTAAAATCGGACGAGACTATATATGGGAGCCATAGGTAAATCTGAAAGCATTTTCCTAATTTCAATTGGGTTTGTCCTTGGGCCAAATAAATGAGCTGTGCCAAATTTCATACAATTCGGATCTTGAATGCGTCCTGTACTATTTAATATGGACAGACAGGCAAACAAACGGAATCAGAAAGCTTTTTTATGCATATTCTCAAAATAATTTATGTATCTATCTCGTTTTCTTTTGTATGTTACAAACATATGCACAAAGACATAATACCCTGTATGGTGAAGGGTATACAAATAGGGTTATATGGTGACTACCCCAAAGATTGTTATCAAACAAAAATACAAATTACCTAATTTCAGCGAATTCTGTTTAAAAATGCGCTCAAACCCTTCATGATTCCAAAAATTTTGGAGTCCTGTAATATGAAGGCTACCCTAAAAATTGGACCACACAAAAACTCAAATTTCCGAAATTTTACGTACGTCCTTTAATAAATAATTTTTTAATATAGAGCCATTCAAATACCAGTGAGCGGAGCAGTATAGTCGGACGGGTCGACCATATGATACCCTGCACAACTACCACTGAGCTCTACGTTTCTGTGGTTGTATATTCCGAGCTTGTGTAATATTTCGCGATATTTTCTCTCCCTCTCTCTTCACCGAATAGAGGTCAACAGCTCCTTTGCGGCAACTTTTCCGAGTCATGTTTTCCGGAATAACAATTTACCACATGCTAGTGTGGTAATGGAAATACTATAAAATATCGGAACATATAGACCCCTGTAATGATTAAGTAGAACTCTCGCATCCGTGGATTTACATCCATATAATAGGTATCCATTCAAAAGGTCAACCACTTCGCTCGAATATACTATCAACTTTTCGGGTCTAGGTCCTTAAAGTAAATATATACGTCATAAAATAATTTTTTTTTTTTTTTAATTTTTCACACAAAAGTCTACACTAAGACTTTTGAACCTCTAAATATTGACCGATTTATATCAAAACAGTCAAGCTTATCGGATCCCTTTCCTCATGAAAAATTTCATAATATTCGGGTCATAATTGTAGAGCGACCAGGAAAACAGGAAACAAAAATTAAGTTTTTGGTCCATTTCATTCCTTACATATTAACGGAATTAACCAAAAACAATAGGTGTCATCTTCGGTCAGAACTGGTCCTACATGAAAAATTTCGTGACGTCAACAACTGTGGCCTGTAGCGGCTTTACAAATTATAATGGAGGGAGTTACATGTTTCGCGGAGTTACAAACTCTTGGGCCCACTCAAAGCTATAATACTCTTACAACATAGTTGTGTAGGTTATAAAAATACAGGCATATATGTTGTAAAAGTCCTGTAACAAATATATATTGAAAAGGACATTTGACAAACATTTACGGCTAATTAAATAAAGTTCATTTGAAGAATATTTAGAAAAATTCACCCTTAAAAATCTGAAGATCCTTGAAAAATGTTTTTAGAAAGCCACGCTTAAATTTCAGAAGGTTGTTTGTTAAAAAAGTAAATATGAAAATTTCCATGTAAATATCTAAATTTCGTTTGAAAATTATTATATTCCTTAAAAGTTCAAGAGTATTCTTATAGTCCTTAATTAAGTAATCTTAAAATAAACTTAAATAATAATAACCAGTGAGCGGAACAGTATAGTCGGACGGGGCCGACCATACGATACTCTACACAACTACCACGAACTCTAACTTTCTGAGGATATTTATTCCGAGTCTGAGTAATATTTCCTGATATTTGCCCCCTCTTGTCCGATTAGAGGTCAACAACACCACTTCCTTACTTTTTCGAATATTCAGTACAGTTCTTCTAATTACTTGTCCAGATTAGCTTCACGGTGGGTTGTGTTGCGATTTTCGGATTATACTCGACTCGAAAACACACAAAAATTGAGTTTTCGGCCCATTTCATCCCAATATTATTATTTGATCATCACCGAAAATTATAGGCGTTATCCTTGACCACACCTGGACCCTCGTGGAAAATTTCAAAGCGTTCCGCGCTATATTTCCGCCTCTAGTGTGGTAATGGGTTACTAAATAGTATCTGAATACGTAAGCACCTGTAAATATTTGACTGTAACTCCCACATCTGAGTAGATACATCACTATATTTGGTATCAAGTTAAAGGCCAACCACTCTCCTTGGATATGCTATCAACTCCTCGGGTCTACATCCTCCAGGAGTAAATATATATGCCATAGAATACAAATTTTGTAATTTTTCACACAAAAGTCAGGGTCCATTTGACCCGCTAAATATTGACCGATCTTTATCAAAACATGCATGCTTATTCTCTGGCCCGATCCCCTTCTCCATGCAAAAATTCGCGGTGTTTGGGCCATAATTGCGGCCTCTGGAGCGACCAGAAAAACCGACAAAAATAATGTTTTTGGTCCATTTCATCACTTAAATATTAATCGATCTTTTCCAAAAACTATAGGGGTCTTCATTGGCCAGAACCCATCCTACATGCAAAATGTCGTGAAGATTGGTCCATAACTGTGGCCTGTATCGTGTTTACAAATTATAATGGACAGACGGACGGACGGACGGACGGACACACATGTCTAGATCGACTCAGCTAGTCGAGATATGACGATCGGTATACATAAAGGTGGGTCTAGGACCAATATTTCGCGGCGTTACAAACATTTGGGGCTGCACAAAGCTATAATACCCTGACAACATAGTTGTGTAGGGTATAATTATAATAGTTATTCAAACTTCAACATAGGAATAATATCCGAAATAATGAAACTTTTGTCCAATGAAAAAATCCCGCCCTCCTTACAACCACTAAAACGTATTTCCCTATTCTCAGTTTAGTTTCTGGAAAATGTATGTATGACATATATCATGACCTTTTCGGTTTTGCCTGCTCGTTAATTTTTATAGCCTTTAACAGTATTCTTCTATCCCTTAACAATATTCCATGATATGTGGCCGTAATTCGTATAAGTAATTATTTATTGTTCACTATCTACAACAAAAAACAGTGTTTTCTTCTACATCTCCTCCAATAAAAGTTTTTACATAACTACTTATGCATGTACGTGTGTTAGTAAATTATTAAATTAGACTAAGATGCTAAAATACACTTATAGGAACTCTATGTATGCGTCTGAGAAAGGGGCAAGGGATCTTTGATTCTAATTGTTTGCCAGACTAATCAAGGCAATATTTCTAAAAACACAAAACAAAGTCAATATTAATGAATGTGCGAGCGATTGAAGTTTAAGGCCAAATCTTAGAAAGTTGTGAATGAATGAATACGAATAATTATCTATTATCAAATACATATGCAGTCTGGCATTTCATGTTTCAATTTTCCCTACCCCCCGAATTTGGGAATAATGTAATTACTTTTAATTTTGCTTAAAAAAATAAATGTTCTATGTACTTACACAATTCACAACCGGTGGCAATAATGAGGCTGAAATTGCCACACCAATCAAGGGGCCAGCTGAGCCTTGTAATAATGCCACCGCCACACCAGTACCCGAAGTTAAAGCCCACAAAACGCCCATCCATAAGGAACGCACATTGCCTCTTCATATTAGCATCATCATCATCATCCACACCATCAGCAACAACAACACAAGAAACCATACGTCAGAGAAGACATGGAAAAAATTTTTAATAAATTAAATTATAATCTCCCAAATGAAATTGTGTTAACATGGTCTTAATAAAAATTAACATTCACATAAAATTTAATTTTGATGGCAAACATTTTTCAATAATGCGAATGTATGGATATAACCTCCAGCTGAGTTTCCCTGAAGGGTTGTTTTTTGGGATATAAACGAAATGAAAGGAATACCGAGAAAGGAATTGTGAATTTGACAGAAAGTGAAAACTATATTTTTCAGCTTTTCACCAGTTTTCCGTTTACGGTAATATTTTCATATTTATATGTGTGAGTTGGCAAAGTGATATGAATGTGTGTATGGAAATTGTTATCATGAATATGTTGGTATGGGTTGTCTAAGAGGATGGGAAAGAATGTTCAATAATTCAACATACAAACATCTTTATGGGGTGATGAAAATGTGTTGAATAAAAATTTATATTATTTTTATAACAATTCAAGAAAGTATCTTTAAAAAAATTCTCCACAAAGTATTCTTTAAAAATCCAAATAAATGATTTGTGGATCATAATAAGAAATCTTTAAAAATCCAGGACATTGATTGGGGTTGTCATACAAAAACCAGTAAGGAAAGTAGTATAGTCGGAACGGGCCTACTATATGATACCCTTCACCACTTTGGGTATATTCGAAGGAACATTGACATTTAATTGAAGAAAGGAACATTGACATGATCTTTATCTATAAGTAAACCGACTAACATCAATCCCAACACATGTCATTCTGCAACTTATCCTGGAGAAACTCAAAATATTGTATATAAAACCAATGTACCTTTGATAGAAAATAAATAAATAAAAAAAAAAATTATACTAATTTCAGTACGTTGTGTCAATCGGCCTAGCTTTGGGTCTTAAGTGCATCATTTACTTAAAACGAACGTATATATAGGAGCATTATGTAAATCTGAACCGATATAGGGACTATGGTGCACCATTTACATAAAATCGTAAGAAAATATATATGGGAACTATACCTAAATCTGAACCGATTTTCACGGAACTTAACACACATCATTCAATGCTGTGACAAATTTCGTGCAAATTGAATGATATATAGGAACATTGGTGCACCATTTACAGAAAATCGTATGAAACTATATATGGGAGCTATATCTAAATCTGAACCGATTTTCGCGAAACTTCACACATATCATTATAGACTCAATTAAATTTAAATTTCATGCAAATCGAATGATATATAGGGACATTGGTGCCCCATTTACATAAAATCGGACGAAAATATATATGGGAGCTATATCTAAATCTGAACCGATTTTCTCCAATTTCAATAGGGTTCGTCCTTGGGCCAATCAAGTGACCTGTGACAAAATTCATCCAAATCGGATCGTAATTGCGACCTGCACTTTGTTAACAAAAATACATGGACGGACGGACGGACATGTCCGAATCAGAAAGTGATTCTATGCATATTCTCAAAAGGAACTATCTCGATTATTTTTACCTGTTACAAACATATGCACAAAGACATAATACCCTGTACCACAGTTTGGTGAAGGATATAAATATTCCTTAAAATCCACGACACTTCCACTGGTCCGAATTCAAAGTCAATTCAAAGCCCTATGGACATATGATAACCGTCCAATTTGTTGCCTGCTATTGAAGAATACGACTTGGAGAATATGTGGTTTCAACAAGACGGTGCCACATGCGACACAACTCGAGCGAATATAGCTTTATTGCAACATTTCCTGATCCAAGCCTTTCTCGAGTAATTTAAAAATTATTTTTAATAAAAACTATTTTTTAATAAATCCACACCTTTCATAAGTCCTTTCAAAACTATTTTAAAAAAAATCCACGCTTTTCTTGAGTCCTGTAAAAATTATTTTTAATAAATCCACGTCTTTCTTGAGTCCTTTATAATTTTTTTACTAAATCCTTAAAAAAATATTTTTTTTAATAAATCCATAATAAATGTCTGCCATTCTCGTTGTCCTTTTCGTTGTCTTCATATTAATTCTATTCGAATTTATGAGAGTGTGGGTATGCTTTATCTCTGTCCTATCTGTATTTTTTTGGGTTATAAATTTGTGTTTGTGAAAATATGAAAAAATGTTAACAGAAAAATAATTTCCACACATTTATGTCTCTCTATCTTCCTTTCGCGTTTCCGTCACACCTCTATTTGTGACGTTGTTATTGTTTTCCGTATTGTTGTTCATTTCCGTTTTACTGAGGTTCGTTTTTTGCTTACATTGCAGTTTCCGCATTTTCAGATCTTTCAAAGTCATTGCTTATTTTGATTTCGAAAAAAAAAGAAATTACAAGCGATAAGGAAAATTTATGATGACAGAGCATTAAGGGAAAAGTTAAATATTTTTTGTTAGAAATTATTATTTAAGGGAAGGAAATTTGAAATTGATTTCATTGTATTTAGGGATGGTTGACAAAATGGGAAAACAATTAATACGCTTTTCCTGTAAATTCAAATTATTTCCGGTAAATTTTAATGGGAACATATAAGAAAAGCGTTGTAATTAATTTTTTAAAGGAATTGCTAGTATTTCAAAAATATAATTATTTAAATTTGCTTGGGAAAGTGGAACATAATTCTAAAAATTGTTTACGATATTTTGTCTTTTTATATTTCCTTTTTTATCAGTTGTACTTCTAATGGTCTTAACCAGTTATGGGGTGGTGTAAAGGTTTCAGCCTAACATTTGTCACCCCAATACCCGTAAATTGTAACATTTCAAAATAAATCCTTATCTTCACGGCCATCCAGAAACGAATCCACCTACCACCAGTGTTAGACCATTTAGTTTAACGTGTCTAACTTTTAATTCATTTCAACTTTGGTGTTGTTTTTTTGTCCTTTTTAATTTTTTTTTCTGAATAAAAAACAACCGTCATAAATTTGGTTTTTACACTTTAACTCCTTACTTTTTGTTTTGGTAATCTTTGTCAACGTGTTTTACACTTGTTTGGAAGTTATCACCGGTTAGCACATACCAGCATTGTCAGCAGGATAACTGACACGTGGCTTTTGTGTTGTGACTTTGAAAAAAGACAGGGTCTTTAGGGCCATTCAAGGTGGGATGTTTTTATTTTTATCAAGAGTCCTTAAACGTATAGAAAAAAGTTCTAAAATTAGAGGGGATGTTTTTCTGTCTTTCTTTCCAAAAATTTCTTTAATAAATCCACACCTTCATTTAGTCTTTCAAAATTTTGTTGTTTTTTTTTTTTAATAAATCGACACCTTCATTCATTTGGTCTTTCATTTTTTTTTTTTTTTTGTTTTTTTTGATAAATTAACGCTTTCGTTTATTTTTCAAAATATGTTTTTTCATTTAATCTTCAAAGCACATTTTCTTCAAAATATTTTTTTTTAATAAAACCTCGCCTTCATTTAATCTTCAAAGTACATTTTCTTCAAAATATATTTTTAAATAAAAGCACGCCTTCATTTAATCTTCAAAATACATTTTCTTCAAAATATATTTTTAAATAAAACCACGCCTTGACTTAGTCCCTAAAAAGATATATTTTTAAAAATCCACGTCTTCATTTAATATTCAAAGTACATTTTCTTCAAAATATATTTTTATAAATCCACGCCTTGATTTAGTCCTTAAAAAGATATATAAATCCCCGCCTTGATTTTGTCATTAAAAAGATATATTTTTATAAATCCCCGCCTTGATTAGTCCTTAAAAAGATATATGTTTTTAAATCCCGCGTGATATAGTCCTTAAAAAGATATATTTTTATAAATCCCCGCCTTGATTAAGGGCATTTTTCAAGATTTTCAAAGGGCTGGTAAATCAATACCAATGCTTGTTAAGGTTTGTAACTTTGCAAATATATATTTGAAGATTTAAAAGAGAGGAAAAATTATTTGCAAAAAAATTTTGTAATTGTTTTGTTGTTGTTTTTTGTAATTAAAGAGAAGTCCTTATTTTTGATGGCGGGCATGATAACTCTTCACTGGAACATCGGAATCCGAAAATTCCAACGGTGTTAGAAAGAGTACATGCCTGGCTCTCGTATGAACTAGGATTATTTACTTCGCTCTAAAATTAACAAAATGGCGGAACTTTGAAAAAATATTTTTGGAAAATCGCTGATTTTTCACCAAAAACCAAGTTAAAAAATAAGGAAAATCTTCACCGATTGGCTTTATCCTAGTTCATACGATAGCTATACACTCACAGAGAAACGTGTAAAAATTTGGAATTGATTGGGTTATTAGTTTTTGAGTTATCGTGCCCGCCATTCACAAAAGAGAAAAACGCGTTTAAAGTTTGAGAAGCCTTTTAGCCGTCACTTGATGCTGACACAATAAATTGGCTATATCTTCAAGAGTTCTTGAGATGTTCACTTGAAATTTTGTACGGACATTCTTGAATTAGTGTAGATTCGACTTAAATCAAAAAAAAAATGACCCCGTGAATGGGGGGTCCCCTTAAGTCCTTAAATGGATACATTTTGATAAATCCACGCCCTGATTTATTCCTTCAAAAAAAATGTTTAATAAATCCACGCCTTGATTGACTCCTTAAAAAAATTCTAATAAATCCACGCCTTGATTTATTCCTTAAAAAAATTATAATAAATTCACGCCTTGATGTAGTCCTTGAAAAGATATATTTTTATAAATCCACGCTTTGATTTAATCCTTCAAAAAAATGTCTAATAAATTTACGTCTTGAAAAAAAATAATAAAACCACGCCTTGATTTAGTCCTTCAAAATAAATTTTTAATAAAACTACGCCTTGATTTAGTCCTTCAATAAATATAAAAACAATATCCTTCGAACCTTTTGTAGTCTAAAAAATATGCCACCTATGGCTTAAATATCATTAACAACAAATGAAAAATATTAACAAAACTACGACGAGGACAAATATCTAAAAATATGCAAATATTG